CTAAATCCAGCCTTTAAAAATGGGTATCTGTGCTCCGGGAGGAAAGGACATCTCGGATAAGAAAATATACCCCAAATTACAGGGACAGCTGAGGAACTGCACTGGGGTGTCTGGCACGTGGCAGGCAAGCCCGTTCATCACGTGCTAGCCGGACTACGTGAACAATTCTCCACTAATTGGTTCCTGTAATTTTTTTTTTACTGTACTACTTAATAAATGGTAGTCCACCTGTTTACAATTGCTGTTTTCCTCTTTCCCATAAGATAATTTTCTGAGTCAAGTGAGCAGAAAGGCCCTCATATCCACTGAGTTGAACTTCACTTAATAAACAAACTAATGTGTGCCCTTTAATGCTAGTTATCCTTCTCCAGAGAAGAGAAATCCTCCCTAATTGGTAGAATTCATTCACATCAAGACTTCTCGACAGAATATTCCAAGTTCTAAATGTTCTTACCTAGGAAAATGTGAGTATCAAATAAACAACAAACAGTGAACACATATTTGAACAGAAGTCTTCAATAAGAACCCCCAATAGCACTATCATCGTGTTGACTAGATTAACCCAGTTCATAGACTAATGCTAACTATTAGTGCTGCAAACACCTCATAATTTTACATTATTCTGAACATGCACTTTTTTTAAGGGTAACTAAAATAAATGATTAAGAATCTTTAGCTGTGTGACTCGAGGAAAGCCTCTTGCTCTCGGTCTGGGTTTCCATTTCTGAAAATGCAGGGTATGCAGGTTAGACCACGTACAAGCCAGCTGGGTCCCTCACCAAGCGGCAAGTCGCACCAACACGCCCCCTCTGCACCAAGTTCCAGGGAGAGAGGAGGCGGAGACCTGGCGCCCCTACCTCTGGACTCCCTCATGACCCCCCACTGTCTCGTGTCTCTAGAGTCTGGGGACAGAGGGAGTCCCCTCCCATGGCAGTCTTCCAACTCTAAAATACTATGAATTCATATGCTGCAAAACAGAACAGAAACATTTATAGCAGAGACCTTGGTGATGATCAAACTGTTAACATTCCCCTTTTGAGGAATGAAAGGATCCCGGATTCTGGGTCTAAGAAAAGAATAAATGCTATCTGACTAATTAGGTGTCTGTGCTGAAGGCCTGACTTTTGGAGATAAGCTTGCAGTGAGGGCCTGCTGGCACACGAGTTCACTGGAGCCTACTTGGGAAAAGAGCCCAAGACTGAGTCTCAAACCCCGTTAAGTTCTGTTTTACAGAGAGTGGGCAGGTGCCTACTTAAAAATCATTGCAATCCAAGCTACACCTTTAAAACAAACGTGCAAAAGGCGGCCTTTCAATATCCCTTCTGCAGGTTCAACCCATTAGGTTCAAAATATAAATTATTTAAAAATTAATAGCAGCACCCACCTCATGTCAAGTGCTTATACAGCGGGCAATTTGTGAATCACCTACACTCTCTCCCATTCATGGTATATAGAACATAAGTTTGCTATCATTGCCATTTTACAGATAAGGAAACTGAGGCTCAAAAGTGAACTGACTGGGACAACGGGATAGCCACATGCAAAATAATGAATTTGGACCCTTGTCTTACAATGTGCATGGAAATTAACCCAAAATGGATCAAAGACATAAATGTAAGAGCAAAGAGTATAAAACTCTTAGAAGAAAACATAGGGATAAATCATCATGACCTTGGATTTGGCATTGGATTCTAAGACACGACACCAAAAGCAAAAGCAACGAAAGAAATAGATTGGTGTTCACCAGAAGTAAAAACGTCTATGTTTCAAAGCACATTAGCAAGAAAGTGAAACACACACACAAATAAGGAGAAATATTTTCAAATGATATATCTGATAGGCACTTGTATCTAGAATATATAAAGAACTCTTACAATTCAATAATAAAAAGACCTTGAGTAGACATTTTTCCAAAGAAGATAGACAAATGACTAACAAGCACCTGAAAAGATGCTCAACGTTATTAGCCATCAGGAAACTATACAACCCCAAGAAAATATCACCTCATATTCACCAGGATGGCTGTAACCAGTATGGCACAGCCGCTTTGGAAAACAGTCTGGCAATCTCTGCAAGAGGTAAACACAAAATTTCCATGTAACCCCAGCAGAACCATTTATAACCAAATGGTTGAAACCACCCAAATATCCATCAGATGATGAACAGATAAACAAAATGTGGTACATCCCTACAGTGGAACATTATTTGGCCAGGAAAGAAATGGAAGTACTGACACATTCTACAACATGGATAAAAACATTATGCCAAGTGAAAGAAGCCAATCACAAAAGACCACATACTCTATGACTCCATTTATATAAAGTATCCAGAATGGGCAAATACATAAAGACAGAGAGTACAGTAGTTCTTACTTCAAGGGGAAGGAAAATGAGTAACAGCTGAAGGGTACAAGGTTTCTTTTTAAGCTGATGAAAATGTTCTAAAATGATTGTGGTTAATTGTTCCACAACTCTGACTATGCTAAAAAAACCACTGGATTATACATTTTAAATGAGTGATTTGTATGGTATGTGAATTATATCTCAATAAAGCTGCTACCAAAAAAAAAAAAAAATTACCAAGATATCCACACTTCTTCCAACAAAACAAATAGGGGATGAGACACACTGAAAATTCACCTTCAGATGGTTTATACTTTTAATTTGTCACATACAAGCAAAGGCATGTACTATACATAAGTCATCATAAAGCATGGTGCGGTACATGCTTTTGCTCCTCTGATCATAATCTACAGTATAGAATACATTATATAATATAGACTATGACATACTGCGTATAACAAAGATGATAATTCCAAGAGATGGTCACAGAGAGGGTCAGATCACACCCATGGAAACATAAAAGAGATTTATTTCCACTGAGGGAAAAAAATGATCATTTCCCCTAAACATGGACTAAAATTATTTAGTGAAACAAAATATGGAGTAAAATCCCCAACATTTAATCACCCTGAACATATCCAAAACAAAGCAGGGAACATTTTATGATGATGCTAAACTTCTCCATGTTAATTAAAATAGCAACTTGATACCCTGGATGAGGTTTATTTCTAGTACAGGGCTTAGCAAAACACGTACTATTCCATTGTGGAAATCCATTTCTTTACTGTTGAGGTCTGAAATAATCCGAAAGTGCACTAAGTCATTAACTTAGAGAGAATCTATGCCTTGGACCTCATTTTAAAGCGGGTTCAGTTACTGAAGTCTCCAAAGAGTCTTAAAGAGGGTTCAGCAAGGCGTTTCCTGTCTCCCGGGACTCTAGGATGAGAGGGCCCTTCTCTCTCTGATGCTAGGCCACTATCTCCCCCTTGTGGCCACAGCTAAACCCTGGCAGTTACAGCCCTAGTCCCAAGGTCTCCCTAGACGCCTGTGAACAAATACAGGAGCGAAGTTGTTTACATTACTGACCAAGACATTCACGGTGAAGGCCATGATGAAGTGAAGCTCTCACAACACCAACTGTGAGAATTTCACTTAGCAAGTTACCACTAACAAATACTTGGTGTATCAGGCACGTACTGAACAGGACTCTTCAAAGCTTTCACTTGAACAGAACTCATTGGCTATTGCCCATCCTGGGAATTAAACAGGTGAACTTTGGAACGAAATGTTTTGAGACTGTGCACGAAGGAGGAGCCTTCTAAATTTAGATATGGCACCTGAATTCTGAAGATAAATATTATGTATGAAATAGCCAACCGTTGGGAATGGACCTTTCTTTTCTTTGACCTGAAAAAGATAAAGTTTTTTCAGGGCCAGTATTCATAGTCTTGGAAAACCCAGTGACAGTCCTCCCTTTGACACACACATAGGTGCAGGAAGAACAGGAAAAGCCAGGCAGGTGAGTTTCAAACAAACCCCGACTTCTCCAACCCCGCGTTCCTGCCACCGTTCAGTCGCAGGCATGATGATGAAGCTTGAGCGGTCCGGAGGGTGGTTTAGGAACCAGTCGGCATGGACACACAGAAAGATACACCGAGAGATCCTCAATTTGGGATCAGTCAGGCAACTGTGCGTGAACGGGTTAGCCAAATCATCAAAATGGCCATCAGGCTCCAAATTACAGTGATTACGATGTCAATCACTATATTCATTTTACATGAAAACCAGATAAGAGTACATTGTGGGCAGTCTCTTATTTGTCTCAGGAGAAATAAAATTTCAGGACATTAGAGTGGGGGAAACACATCGGGGAGGATCGAGGCCAGGGGTTAGCAGGCAATTCTGTCTGACACACCCATCTGGGTGGACCAGCAATGGCTGCCCACAGCCCTGTGCTCTGGAGTCGAAGGACCAGTCCGGACTCCCACGGCAAGGGCTGTGACCAAATGCCAATCTCTGCCAAGGGCAATGGACAAAGGGACTGCGTACTTACTTTCTACCTTTTGTACCTTTCTAAGCTGACCATTTCTGATTTAGTTTGTCCTTCTCTGTTTACAAATGGATAACTTGGGCCGACAAGTTAATGAAGTTAATTCAAGGTCACACAACTAGTTAGTGGCTGAGTTGGGCACACAAGCAAGTCTCTGATTCCATATCGGAATCCACAAATCTAGTTGGGAGAAGACAGAGTTCACAAAAGGTTGCTAATAATTCAAAAAAAAAAAAAAAGTTAATGTTTGTTCTAAACAACCCCTGAAATAGAAGCAGCACTGTCTCAGGAACTTTCACAGAAACTGTCCTGTGGTTAAAAACATACCTTTGCAAAAAGGAACCTAACATTTCCTGCCTATAAATCAGTACAACAAAACACATCTCCTGAAAGTGTATTAACTGCGGTCAGAAGGGGAGAAAGTGTGTGAGAGTGAGCAGATGCCGTGCAGACCTCCAGTGCTTACTTCCGAAATGAAGTCTCCACTGTGGGAAGAAAAGGCTGAAAAATTATTTTTCACTTATATTCCTCAGGGCATCTTAATGCTAGAAAGAACAGTCAATTACATGGGGGTAGGGAGATGTTCAGAGGGAGCTGTCCATTCTTACCTGCTCCAATGTCAGCTGCTTGGAAATGGTATCATTCTCCAGTTTTTTAATTTTCTTCATCAGTTTGTTCACCTGGAATTCCTGCTCCTGCTCGAGGTGCTGCTCTAATTCGGCTTTCTCATGCTGCAGCTGAAAGTGAAAAACACGCAGATGTGGAAATCAACACACTCAGAAGCCGTGGCGACCATGGCTCCGAAAGCTGGTCGGTCACACTGAGTGAACCACATCACCACAAAAGCTACGTTCCTCATTTCTGCTCGTCTACTCAAATGTGTACCCTGTAGCCTGTTCCTTGCCGGTCCCCTCACTTACAACCAGGAGCTGCCCTGCATATACAGAGGCACTCGATCTGAGCCAAAGGCTGAGAAACGAAAGGGCAAGTACATGTGAGCATCCAACCATGATTACATATAGATTTCAATTTGAAAACATGAGTGGCTGCCTCTGTAGAGAGAAACTGGGAGGCTAGGGGATAAGGTAAGAAAGGAAATTTCCTTTTTAACATATAACCATAAGCATAAAAATTAATAAATTTAAAAAGAGAAATTCTGTACTGTCAGTTTTTATTCAATGACTTACACAGTTAACTCATATTTATAGAATGTATGTAGAGAGGGAAGAAATGTTACAATCACAACACATACTAAATTATTCTGAATGTTACTTCCCAATGTACTAGAGAACATGCTTTGGCAAAAATAAGTACAATCCACTATCCTTCTATAATGAGATCGGACATCACACCTCCTACCATCTTTCCTAAAAACCAAGGGGGAAAGTCTCCTATGTATAAAACTAAACAAGTTAAAAGAGAAAATAGAAAAAATAATTTACTCCGACCTTCAAAACCAAAAAGGAATAACAGAAATCCAGTAGACACATGACAAGTGGGGTTTTCATTCAGAACCATGCACTGTTTCCAAAGTTCTCAATCGGGGGGGTTTGCTGATCCATGGTATGGATCGAAGAAACAATATCCGTGGGGTCTGATGTTTTCAGAACCAAGGAGAGACTAAGTAAAAGCTATTAAAAAAACATCCAGTTTTATTGGGTCTAAGATGACTGCTCCCTACTTTTATCCTCAAATCCATTTCTTTGGGTAGACACTGCATACCAGTTTCTTCATAGGGGTCAGGCAGCCATGATCACCCCCACATTATAGGTCACAAAATAGGTTACTGGACCAAGGCAATTCAGCTGGAAAGCAGTAGAACCTGGAATCCAAATCCTGCTCTGGACACCAAACCTATGTCCTCCCACTGGATCCTGAACAAACCTGAGAGGGGCCGACTGCAGAGTCTTCCGCCCACTAATGCCGAGTGCACCCTTGGCACCGGAAAGTCAAATGATTCTACACAGAAAACGCCACGTAGGCTCACCCAGGGGACGCTGCGTCTCTCCGTAAACCCTGCAGAGGGTACAACGTCAACAGAACAAGGGCATCAGGACCCGATCCTCCTCAAAATGGCCACCTAACCCTCTCCAGGTCTGACAATCCCCACTGCTCTGAAAGCACGTATTTGGTTAAAAAAATAAAAGTTTAAAACCCAACATCATCTTCTAACACTGGAAATGTTGACTAAACAGATGCTGTTTTTCCTCCAACTGTTTTTGATGTGCAACTCCAAAAAAAAGCTGGTCAACCTTGCAGGGACCCAGAAAAAACGCAGATGCGAGGAGGTGCTTACGGTGACGAGTTTAATTTTAGCTAGCTCTTTAAAACCCAGGTTCTGCGTGATCGAGCGGTAATTAAAAGAACTGAGAAGAATGGACAGAGAACAGGAGTGCCTGGCATTTCAGACAGAAAAGATCCAAATGAGAAAAATATGACTTATGAGAAAGAAAAGAAAAAAAAAACTCAGCAAAATGTATACATCTTCATCTACTACTTTTATTCTATAAACACTGTCTTTGTGTTGTCAATCTGTGGATACTATGCTAATGGTAGGTAAAATCTATACTTAAGATATTATCCTTATCCTAAAATAGTTAATCAACACTTAGCTTAAGTGATACCTACAGGTTTCAGAAAAATGAACTCTTTAGTCTTACAACCTTTAAATCATTTGCTAAAGCTTCCTCCAATGTGCTTTCAATTGCTGCTATTTTTATTTGGAAGAAGCTCCCCTCCTCCTTTTTCTCAGGTTAGGCTTCTGTCCAGGGGGAAATGAACACAGTAAAGGATGGAATCTAAAACCTCTTCCCACCAACAGCCCTTGTCAGAGAACGCTGGTCTGAGAAGAGAGGAGGTTTTCACTGGCTTACTGGAAAATATTCATATTTGCACAGATGGTCTCATACTATCAATCCTCGATTAATAAAATCTATAAAAGCTCTTAATTTCAAGAGGTTTTTTTTCTCTCAAAAGCTGTACCCCAAGGAAAAGTTGACGGTAAAGCTGTGTCGTTACCAGAACTCAAGTAAGGTCCCTGGGTTATACTAACCCATTTGGAAAATACCGAGTCATCCTGAGACCTGTTTGCCAAATACTCGGTTTTCATCTTCCCCAAAAGACAGGTGAAAACCAACAGCTTGGCTGCCTGCTGTGTTCTGCCATCTCTCAGGTGACATGCAACCCAGAACCAGGGCACAGCGTTTCTGAACAGAGCACTAGGAACAGAAAACAGTCTTCTTCCTTGGAACAAAGAATCCAGCAATAAAAAAAGAGAGAGAGAAATACAGAAACACCCCCCCCCCCCAAAAATCATGAGGTAAGAGCTAAGATGGACAAGAAGGGGGAAGAGCAGGGGAAGGGGTTTTGAGGAAACTAATAACCACAGAATTTCTGCCTGAGAAAAATTCAGTAACTGTGTCTTAAATAGATACGCAGCCCTGGCTGGTTTTGCTCAGTGGTTAGAGCACCAACCCACAGACCAGAGAGTCGAAGGTTTGATCCCCAGCCCTGGTTGGGGTCATGTGGGAGGCAACCAATTGGTGTCTCTCACATGGATGTTTTTCTCCCTCCTTCTCTCTCTTCCTCCCTCCCCCTCTCCCTCCCTCCCATTCTATCTGAAAATCAATGGAAAAATATCCTCAGGTGAGGAATAAAAAATAATAATAATAATAATAATAAACAGATACCATGTAGATTCAAACCACTTGGCCCCACAGGGCTCAAACCAATACCCTGACTTCATCTATTTTAAAGCTGTAGCTCAGGACACTACAAACCAAAATGCTAAAAAGAAGTCTGGTTTAGGTGGACTCAAGACTGACTATCAGAAATAAATTCCAGTTTCATCTCGGAGTAGCATTCAAGCTAAAAGCATCTCGGAACTAAAATTCAAGGCATGATTTTAAATTTCTAATCAAAGGTCTTACTTAGTGTTTTTAAGAGCAATTTTAAATCTTCCAAGAAGGTCAGAGATCCTAAACTAGAACAAAAATAATTCAAACTAAAAAATAAATAAATAGTCAAGCATATTCTATTAATGTGTTTAAAATGCAACTCATGTGTTTGCTTTAAATATACCTAAAGCAAAATGCTTGCCTAGGTAGACTATGGTTTTTTAAATATCAGAATTTCTGCCCGGCCAGTGTGGCTCAGTGGTTGAACATCGTATCAACCCATGCACCAAGAGGTCGCTTGTTCGATTCCTGGTCAGGGCACATGCCCAGGTTGTGGGCCCGATCCCCAGTGGGGGACATGCAGGAGGCAGCCAATTGATGTTCTCTCTCATCGATGTTTCTTGTTTCTATCTCTCTCTCCCTCTTCCTTCCTCTCTCCCTAAAAAAAAAAAAAAAAATCAGAATTTCTGTAAATGCACTTTTTATAAAGTAAATCTCAAACATTATGGAATAGTCTTATGTGTGCAATATATTGTTAACATTAACAAAAAGGGAAGCCCTGTGAAACTGAAATCGCATTATATAACAGATGATCTGCTGCAGTACATTTTCATTGGAATTAGGATTATATAAAGATGTGTTCCTTAAGAATCAGCATGAAAAAACATGTTAACCGAAAAAGCCATAAGCAAAAACATAACTATAAATCTTTAAAATGCCAAGTCCTACTAAAACTTGAGCATGATCTTACTGCCTCCGATTCTATGTGGAGTCCCAAAGCAAATGTCCAGCAGTTAAGAAATACAAGCATAGCATTAATTTGATCTAAAACAGGCTAGACGTAAGCATCACTCAATTATCAATAATTGTTGTCTTATGATTTACAAAGGCTTTCTGGAGACATTTCAGTGATCCAGTCCTCCTATTTATATAACAGACACAAGAACTCTTCAGTACGTCGATTCCGGGAAAATTCTCTCTAGCAGGTCGAGGCACTGACCCTGCTCACCCCAGAGGAGCCCCCAGGTGCACACGCAGGCTGTCTGCAGAGGCAGGGCCAGCAGGCGGCAGGTTCGCCACATCCCAGGCCGGGCGAAGTGTGTTTGCAAGTCTGGGCTTGTTGTCAGCCCAGCCCAGGCCAAGTGAGGCGAGCCTTCTGGCCACCAGCCTTAGGACCCAGCTTTCTCAATGCAACTTGAACAAAATTCAGGAGGCCCCTACCTCTGTTTTCACTCGTCAACACTAATATCTCTGTGTGTACTAACCACTGTCTCACAACCATCGGCACCGGACCAAGTAAAGGCTGTATGAGACAACAGCTACATTACATCATCGAACTGTCAACAATGATCATGTTATTAACATGAGCTTTGAAGAAAAGTTCAAAACTCTCACAGAACACAGAGTCTCTCAAAAACCAACTTTTCACAACTGCTCCACCAAGCAGCCTGAACAGAAAGTCAGCCTCCCACCTCAAAGCCTGAACATCACCACTATGCCTGGCGGGCCCACACCAATTCCCACCTCCACCCCTTCTGTTACTGGCACCATTATTCTCAGTCAACACCTCACATCGCAGCAGTCAGCAAATGGCCTTTAGTCGGCCTCCATCACCGCTGTCAAACACATCCTCCTCTCTCCCTGTGCAAGCTCCAGTCTAGCTCAGGTCTTCCATTTCTTTTCACTGGGCCACATGGTCAAAGCCTCCTCCCACATCTCCCAGATGTAGCACAGGTCACCCCAGCAGACAAACCCTATTACTTCAACACCCTGCTCAACACCCTGCAATGGCTCCCTAGGCCTGAACTGTTAGCATGGCGCAGAAGTCCCTCCGCGATCTA